ATATATATATATATATATATATATATATATATATATATATATGTATATATACATATATATAGAAAGAGAGAGAGAGAGAATGAGAGAGACACACATATTTCCCATGTTTCCCAATTTTTGTTTGCCTTTTACACGCCATCAACACCACTCAATTTCAATGAAGTCCTACTAACCACTATGCCAACTTGTTGAATTGGTAAGTAAATAACTTACATTACTTTTATTATATATAAAATATGTTTAAATTTTGGGTTTTTTTCAAGGCAATATAAGATAGCGACCGGATCATGCGGTTCAATTATAGTAACCCATCGATTTAACTTTTGACCACTAACTCGATGTCTTAACTGGTTTGATAAGTGATTCGATTTTTAAAACATTAATTCTAATGACAATTTTAGTTCACGTCACATTCATAATGTCAAAAATGAGGATTTTGCTAGTTCTCGAGTCATTAATCATAATTGAATTGATAAATTTTAATTACGCTGCACATATGTATTAATAATTAATAATTTAATGTTCAAATATAAAAATGGTTTATTTTCTCTTTCAATTATGATAAAGCCTTTAACATTGAATCAATTTATCCATCATCATCATGACACATGTTATTAATATTGTATTATTAAATATTGAATGCAATATGGTCATGAATGGAAAGATAGGTAATAATTTTATTAGACATGTATATTTTGTTGAACATGACCTTCTACCTATTAGTTGTTTAATGAATTTTGATGAAGATAAAAAGTCACTAGAAGTTTAATGAAAACAAAAACAAAATTCAAGACGAAAACAAAATCAAGACAACAGCCTCTACGAAGACAAATAGTCAAAGTCTTAGGCGATTATATAATGTTTATCATTTCTAGCTAACTTTGACTAAAAGGGAAACTTTGAAAATGCATAAATGAATTTATAAGATAAAAAGAAAAGCAATTTCTATGAAAAAAAAACACTTTCAACTAACATTGTCTTAGGAATTAATTGCTCCTTCTTGGAATCAATTTCCATAAAAAGGAATATAGTGTTAACTATGAAAATTGATTTTTGAGTGTAAATTTTTTGCCGATTTCGTCTTTGTAAGAGTCAATTACTTAAGATAAAAATGATTATTGACGACTATTTAATATGCACTATCACTATTTCAATTATAAGAAAATATTTTATATAAAATATAATGGATATCTTTTGTTA